CTCCAGGTCCCCCCAACCTCCCCACTCTTTCCGTCGCGTTGGTCTAAGTCCTCAAGGCGGAGAGAAAGGAACCAGAGTGAAGGACGGCTACCTGTGGCGCTGCCAGGTGGCCTTGGTCACGTGGGTTCGTGACGTAAGGGGTAAAAGAATCTTGAGGTCATGGGGCTTCCCCTGACCTGGATTCTATCTCTCCGTCACCGGCAGAATCGCTGATTAATGCCTACAGTTCAAAATAGTCATTTTGACTGACCGGAGTCTATGGTGGGTATGAACTATGTGAATAGGCGGGTTCGGGGAACCCTCGCCTAAGTCAGGTAAGGCATGTTTATACTTATAAATTTATAAACTGTTTTGATTTAAAATCAGTCTCAATTAAATCTAAATAAAACGATTGAAAATGCTAGACATTCTGTGCATATCAGTGCATAAATCAGGATGCAACAATAAAACAGCCTACCTGATTGTACACACTCTTCCAATATGTAATTTGAGTATATAAATATTTATGTTTATAACATACTCGCCTTACTTGAGTCCATTGTAAAGAGAACACAATATGTCACAAATATTTTCATACTTGTTACTTTGAGATGGTGGTTCTGCTATAAATCTCAGATACTTTGATCCAAATAGCCTTTGAACAATTCTATAAATCTCAGATACTTTGATCCAAATAGCCTTTGAACAATTTTTGTTTAAATATAACCACATAAAGATGATTGAATCTTACTGAAATATTGTTTTAGAGACAATTGCATGGGCAAAGTGAATCAACTCAATTTGTTGAAATCAATCACTCACTGCAACCATACATGACACGCACTATCATGGGATATAACACATGCCAGTGGAAGAGAGATTTAGCCCCTCAAAATTGCGACATATTTGGCATCTCATCCAGGGCGCCCGATAAAATTTCAATGAATGGCACCCTCTAGACCTAGTCAAATTAAAAATAACGACACAGGAAATAAAAAGAAAAAGAAAAGAAAAATTAACGTTTTAATCATAATCCAGTCAAGTATTAATGTAAATGTACATGGGGCTGGTAGGTGCATGATGTACATATTTGATGTTTCTTGCACTAAACAAGTTTCTATGATTCTATCAGTTTTATTTGATTCATATTTTGCTATTTTGTATTGTGTGTTATAGATGGATCAAATTATTTCTCTATTGAAACAAGGAATTAAAGAAAAAAGAACAAATAACCAGTACTCCATGGTAAGACACAACCCCTTTAGATATTCTGTATCTATCCTAGAATTAATGTATTGATCAGGGTGAGAGGGCGCCGTCCTATCTGGATGGAACGTTTCAAAGTCAGTCCATAGCCTATGTTTGTTTACAAACAGATTTCAGCGATTTCTTTACAGAATAAATGATAGAGGCTAGACTGGGGCAATCATCTTTGTGAAAATCAATCAGTCAATATTGCAGTGAATATCAATTTTTTGTATGTGCAATATGTATCATATTTAGGCATGGATTTACCAGACAGTAGATGGACATGGATCCATTCATGATTGTCCAGTATTGATGAAAGCCATGTGGAATCCAGTGATTGTAAAACACTTACTACAAAGTAATATGAGATATAGCAGTGGGCTGTTTTGAAAAAAAAAACATGCTACCAATATTTATACACATTATAGACTGATAGCATGTAATAAAAGGGACGATGTCAAAAGATCGATGTCGGATAAAAAACTTAATTCCTTTTAAATTAGTTTTTTCCAAACTCCCCTACCCCCTACTGAAACTTAATTGATAAATATTGGTCATGGCGTCAGACTACATTCACCATTAAATACAAATTGATAATCGGACAGTAGTATTGCGTAGCAGTTGGTTGTCGGGTGGGTGTAAAAAGATTTTACAAATGCACGTCATTTGATGCACAGATTTACACTCGAACCAAACCATTTTCTCGTCTTGGATGTGTTTTTTTTTCTTTTTCGGTTATTTCTGTCCATGATTGGATAGAAAAAAACGAACTACAAATACTTCAAGATTTTTTTGACTTCATTAAAAAATAAAATCCTTTTTGTAGGATGGAAACTTTTTGAGGACAAAACTCCCCACCCCCAAACTAAAGGAAATAAGTTTTTTATCCGACATCGATCTTTTGAGGATTTATTATAATATACGGATAATATTACAATCACACCAGTTTGTTTCTCTCACAGAATGGTGTGATTAGTCAACTTGATGATATACTGAAAGTCGATGCCAAGGATAGTGGATTCTATGAGCCATTCAGTAAATTAAGTGATGTAGCTACAATAGATGAACAAAGGTATAGAAACGCTTATACTATCTGTATTTCTACACTCTCACTGCTAGAGATTGTTTGCTGTGAATCTATAAACTTGTACATGACTATGATCAGAGAAGCAGGTTTGTTTCCTTGACAGGTTGATCCAATCTCCATCCATAGGTTTTTGCACATGCTATATGTGATACTACCTCTGCCACAAGCACAGACAGCATTTAATTTTGTCACCTCAATACACACAGCTTTTTTCTGCTGTTTTCACAATGTTTGTACATTGTATGCAATAATAATAATAACTTTATTGAAATCGTATCCACAATGGGATATTGATAAATACAATAAAGGTAATATATCTAAAAAAACAAAACAAAATTACAAATATAACTGAAACTAATAAAATACATAACAGTTAGAAAAAGAGAAAAAAAAATAATTTATTAAAAACATGCAACTATTTATTAATGCCTGACTTAGAAATACAAACAATTTGATGTTTAATACTGAATACACTATAAC